CCGCGAGTGGTACAGAAGTACGAGAGCCTCATCGGCAACATGGCCCAATTCGAGCGCAGTGCGCAGATCATAAAAACGCCCAAGTTGGACAAGGAATACATCGATGTGATGAGCTCCTTCCATTCGGCGCTGCGCAACGCCAAGCACAGCCAAATGCAGGGCAGTCTGCCCAAGTACATGATAACTATAACTGAGCTGCAGCTGGAGAAAGTCACCGTGCTCTGGGACGCCTGCTGCTACACACTGCAGGCACTCGAGGTCTACCTCTACATCACACAGAAGCCGCTGAACGCCGAGCTGCCCATGCGCCACCAGAGCTGCGTCAGCAATTTGGTGCGCGCCTGCGCCCTCTACTCGACCAAACTGAATGAGAACCAAATCAGCGAGCAGAGCGAGTATGCGGCCAAACTCTACGAGGAGGTGTTCGACCAGAAGGAATCATGTGTCCTGGAGTGGGACTGCTTCCGCAAGCTGGTGCACCTCACATTTGCCATGCCCAATCTATTGATTGCTACAGACGGTAAGTGAATCAATTGTAATGGGATACATGGTTTGCCCTAATATGGAATATTCCCTCTTACACTATCTATATCTCTCTCTCTCTCTCACTCTCAACTCTCAGCCGACAAGAAGATATTACCAAGCGGCAGCATGATCGACTTTTACTTGCTGCAGGCGTGTTTCCTGGCCAACGTGACAAAGGCGATCGTTTGCTTTGACTACGAAAATGATCTGGAACGTCCTCCACAAGGGGACGATGAGGCGCAAATTGCGGCGATGCTGCAGTACGTGGAGGAGCTGCCGTGCAAGATCCGGCACAACATGGCCAGCTTCTACATGAAGCACAATTTGGCATATCGCGTCAACCAGCTGATGCGGAACGAGCAGCTGAGCGAGGAGTTCGAGGAAATGGAAGTGGGCTTGGGGGAGGAGGGTGTTGAGTCGCCGGACTGCACGGCTCAGCATTTGGCCCGGCTTTTGGCGTATGTTAAGCGCCAGATGGGCTCGTTCCTGCGCAGCGCCTGCCTATTTTACCGTTACATCACCGATGTCGAATATCCGGACTGCTTCCCCACTAGCCAGCCAGATCGCTTTGGCCTGATGTGCCAGTACTTGGGCATGGACGCCGAGCTGGGCGTCTACTTCGACATGGAGTCGGTGTACGCCACCCTAATGCAGAGCTTTGCCTCGCATCCGCACATTAAGCGCGAAGTCGGCAAACGTCTCGCCGCCAAGCGTGCGCCGCCCGACACGTCGGTGTCGTATATGCTGCCGCCTGAAGATCCGGATGAGATAAACATAATGCCATGCCTGCGGCCATTGCCGGAGCTGATGGAGCTCTTCGACGATTACAGCGATCTAATCAACAGCGTTTCGGACATCTACTGTCCGAACAACGAGCGTGAGGAGATGAAGACGCCGACCATGTGTTTAATATGCGGCGCCATACTGTGCGGCCAGTCGTTCTGCTGCCAGCCGGAGCTGGGCGAGAAGCAGGTGGGCGCCTGCACCCACCATGCCCACGAATGCGGCGCCGAGGTGGGCATTTTCTTGCGCATACGCGACTGCCAGGTGGTCTATCTGGGGCGCGGCAAGGGCTGCTTTGTGCAGCCGCCGTATCTGGACGAGTACGGCGAGACGGATCAGGGCCTGAGACGCGGCAATCCGCTACGGCTATGCAAGGCGGCATACGATCGCATCTTTCTACAGTGGCTGGGGCACAATCTGCACGAGGAGATCGCCCGTCTCAACGAGAATGCGAATGTGGCCGTAACGCAGTGGCATCACATGTAGTCCGCATGCTCCCGAATTCGATATACAATGCAAACATCTATAGAAATATCGGTAGCAGTTGCTTTACCGTAAAACAATGGCGACAGCGATAACAATATCGATGACGATGACGATGACAAAGGCGGCGACAGTCAATGTGATTATTACATACTAAAATTAGGAGAGCATATTTATACGTCTAAGCATTTTACTACTAATTATCCTGTGTGCACCTCACCCACAGTCCACAATAACCCAAAACAAAACAACACAAACACAAACACAAACATACACACACACACATACACATAGACATACACTTACACCAACCCATCTCACAACTCGACGAAATAGCTAGAGAATCCTGTCCAGCTCAGAAATCAATCAAATATTAAGTTGTGAGTTGGGTTGTTGTGTTTGTTTCTCTCCACATATATATGTATATATATATATATATATATATATATATATATATATATGTGTATATGTAATATATATATATTTATATATATTCATATAAATGTATGTATGTATATGCATATACATATTATATTTTGAATTAATTTTTTTTTTTTTAATAGAGAAACTTGTTGATAATTTGATTAGCAGGCCTAGCTTTTGCCCCTAGTTATTATTATTATATTAATTACTATATAGTTATAAAATCTGCCAGCATACATATAAAAAAGGCGGAAGTTATATCTAAAAAAAAAATTTAAAAAAAAAAATGCAGCTCCACCGTCCCCAAAAAAAAAAAAAAAAAAATAATGAAGAATGATTTAATTTACTAAAACCTGCTTCTAAACGAAACGGAAGAAAAAAAAATAAGACGTGAATTGTACTCGTTCATTTTGCTAGTTGCTCATTGCGTTCATTTGTTGGTCACTTTCTGTTCTTCCCACGCCAACACGGCCTCTTGATTCTTGTACATAGAACCTGTCATCTGTAATCTATAGTTAAAAACGAAGAAAAACGTGTGTAAACTGTATCTATATAATCTACGGTCAGTCTCAGCTTAGGTCACTCCGATCAATGTTCAATGCATGCTGCATGAGAGGGGATTGTTTGAGTTAGTGTGGGATGGTTTCCCTAGGATCAGTTAGCTCCAAAAATATAGATATATTAACAAAATACATATATGCGTGTATGTAAATATATATATTAAAACTTTGACATATGTATATCTCCTATATATATATATGTATATGTATATTGTATACGCGTTCGGCTTTACCTGCCTTACAGCCCCACCCCCAGCCCCAGGACTAACGGCTTGTCCTTACTCTGTATCAAATACACTGTCACACACACACACAACCACACACACACGCAAAAGCATACACATGTATGTGATTGTGGACTTTTACGTTAGATATTCCGGCGTTGCACTGGCGACAACAACAACAACAACAACAGCAACAGCTTCGACTGCAGCAGCAACAACAACAACAAATTTGTCCGATCTTGTTAAATTGTTAGACATATAAATGTCTGTATACACATACGCATATATATCTATATTTGTATAAATATATATGTGTCTATATATGATAATAACAAATACACACACACATACAGCTACACACCCACACAAATTTCCTTTCATGTTTTGTCCAACAACAAAGTGCATGGCATCTTGTATTTGAATCTCAGACACTAAGTTTCAAAATCGATTGTGAGTAAACAACAACAACAACTAGAGAGCTACTTTAACAACTACAACCAACAAGAAATAAATGCAGTTTGCAAAATTTTAGTGATATTGAAATTTGTTGGCTTTGTATTCGGTTGGGGAAAAGAGGAACTGAAAAACTCTCAGGGTTCTTTGATCCAGTTGATTGTTTCTTAGCTCTCCTGTAAACCTTAATTTCAGTGATCGTCATCCCATTCAAATTGGTATGTCATGTTATGTCATGTTATGTTAAGTTATGTTATGTTCGTTATGTTAATTGTGTCCACTTCAAGTTGTATTGAAGCAGATTGATAGATGATGTTTGAATTGCGGAATGGACGACTGTCGATCAATGATGAAGCACTGTATATCAGTATTGCCATTTTCCCCATAGCACAAAGAGCTAGATCTAGCTGGAAAGGCAACCAAAGAACAAAAAAGAAGCAAACAAGAAGCTAAATCGTGATTTTAACATAATTTTTGAGGTTCTCTGCAAAGTTTGCATATATACATAAGTATTTCTACAATTCTTTTTTTGATTTGTGAAATTCTATCCGATAATGTTGTCAAAAAAAGCTGAAAACAAGCTTTTATAACTTTCCAAGAAGCTTGAATTCTCACTTTCCGCTGTTTTCGAAATTTTCCTGCAATCGGAAAAATGCCAGAGTTGACGAGAAAAGCCAGCTCTTACGGTAAGAGCCAGATATGAAATATGCTGAAATGGTATCAGTGCTGTATACATACGGTATACTCTCGCCTAATAAATATGTTAAGAGCATATGGGTCATGATCATGCTATATGTGATGTTATAATATTCTCAGCCTCTAAAATACCAACACATAAGACCGAAATTTGCAATATTGAGGAGAATAGAATATTTATATTGAAATACATATTTGCAAAGGCGTGGCAAATGGGGAAAAACTAAATAGATTGAGTCCTCCATTTTATGGACCTCATTTCATTTCGTTATAGCTTTCACAGTGTGAGAACTATGTAGATCTATGTAGGTATTCATGCATGATCATGGTATTGAGGACCGTCTCCTGATGGCTTCAAATGGACTGCACGGAAGTGTTCAGCAGTTTACGATCATCAAACATTTGTCCAATTGGGAAACCAGAGAGTATAGAGATACGTTATTATATAAGAATGTATTATATAATTGCAGATATCAATCAGCTGAGTAAACCATAAAATACCCTATCTCAAGCACTAGAAACACTTGGGTATTCAAGAGTATTTACGATGAAAATGATTACCTTCTGGCTGAGAATGTTTGGTCTATGAAGAGACTATGAGCTGACTGCCAATCAGTACAAATATTCCAAAGTTTGCATACATAACTCTAGAGGTATACGTAGTATAAAGGTAAGGCACAGAATGTTTGAAATTTGCGTCACTTCTTATCTAGAGAGAATGTGCATTCACCTGGGGCATTCAGAATCGCGACGAACACTACGGAGCCCAGTGCATTTCCATGTAGTACTTACTCGGGTTTTTCAGGTGTGTAAATGAAACAAAAGATACCAAAATAATAAGTCACATTCGAGATATTGTTGATAAGCGCATTTGTTTAATGAATGCATTTGATAAATTTTTCCACATTTTGTTTAAAATTGTTTAGCTTTAGCTCGAGTCGAGTCGATATGATTGTATAGATAATGTATTGTAAAGATAATGGATATAATAGGAATTCTTTGTTTTTCATTTTCTTTCTTTCTTTTTTTTTTTTTAAGCAACGGAAACGTTAACCTTTTCGATAAGTAATGCGTATAAATTCATCAACTATATATATAGTTATATATATGTGTGTATATATGTAAGTCTATAAACTATGTGGCAACTGCTGTGTTACCTACCGCTCCCTCTGCCCCCCCTCTGTTTTACGTTTCACAATCTTGGCATTTAAACAACTAATAAATACAAAACGTATTCTGCGCACTTCTCTATGGAACTAGCTCACATCATTTTCCTTCGCTTCCTTCTTTTTTTTCTTCTTTTTTTTTTGTCTATATTATTTACAACTTTGGACTAGATGCTGTTTAGGAATATTTACAGTGCTGCACGCAGACCAAGCAAACTAAAAACATAAAAAAAAAATAAAAAAACTATATATATATATATAGATATATAGGACCTACATATATAGTACCTACATGCACAGATATAGCTGTGCAGAGAATGCGCTACGGATAACAATACTCTAAGATCTTAGACTGTAGTAAATACAACGCCATATGATTAGCCAATAGCCAGAGGCGGCCGATAGGGGGCGCCAATGCAGTAGAAAGTAGTGAAGTACGAGTCCCATTTCTGGACAAATTCAATGCCACAAGCGAAAAATCTCTTTGTTTCTCTCTCCTCCGTCGCCGTCGCCGCCGCCACCGCCGTCGCCGTCGCTGGCTGCATCCCTCCCAGATTTAGATGTGCAGTGTGGCGTTTGGCATGTTGACGGCAACGGAAATGGAACCGGAACCGGAGCCGCAGCCGGAGCCGGAGCCGGGATTGGAGCCGGATGCCTGAGCGGCGCGTGCGTCCTTGCTGGATGTCTGCGGCTGCATATCCTTGCACGGGTCGACATCGATCATAACGCAGTCGTAGGCCGGCGGCGGCAGCTCGCACTTGACCACGCTCTCGTAGCTCGGCGGCAGCGAGTCCACAATGCGTAGCACATCGTTCTGCGAGTTGATCTGGGAATCGAGAGGGATTTTGGCTAAGCATAGGGCACAATGTTGTCTATGGCATCGATGGACTTACGTGATGCAGTGCGCCAGAGCCGGCGCGATTGCCGGCCTCGTCGATGGGCCCGGCCCAGATGCAGACGCCCATGCGATGTGTCACATAGCCGCAGATGATGACGCTGATGACCAGCATCCCGATGCCCAGGGCGAAGACCAGCCAACGCGACTCGGGACTGTTGTGCATGTCGTGCAGATTCTTCTCCAGCTGCAGGGCACACAGTATGAGCACCGGCACAGCCACCATGGCCACGAGCAGATCCACGATGGGCCGCTGATTGCCTGGCCCGGCATTCACTGGATAGCGTCCGCCACTGCCACTGCCGCCGCCGCCACCGCCACCAGACTGTCCGCCCTGGTGGGAGTGGGAGATAAAGTTCTGGCTGCTGTTGTTCGGAGTCAAAGTGGAGCGAGCCACCACGATGTTGTGGTTCTGTAGCACCATGCTATCAAAAGAGAGCGATAAAGAGAGAGAGAGAGAAGATCGATTAGTAGGGGTCAGCATTAGTAACAAGTAAAAATGTTGCAGTCGGGCAGTACCGACTGCAGAATACTCATTCTCTCTCGGCAACACGCCGGCTGGATCATTTTATGATTTACCACGCCCTCAACTGGTATATAATTACAGATCAGTAGAGGATGGCAACAGATTGAGCTTCCAGCTTTAAAGCTGCAGAAATCTTATTGATTTGAGTTGTCGATCCGAGGATGTACCTCAAATTTCTTCTTTTGAGATACCAGAATACCCTTTATAATTCGAGTATTTCAACCGGACAGCAAGACGGACATTGCACTTAACCATAATATATATTCTAGATGTTCGTACATAATAAAATAAGTTTTGAGAAAGGTACTCCTAGGTTTCTACAACCGTAGAGTAATTCGAGATGGTACTAGAAGGCTCCATGTCCATATATTTAATATTATTTTATTATAGTATTATTGATAATATGTCAGAGATCTTGGTAAAAATATACTGAATATATAACAGCATTTCAGCTCTGTAGCTAACGCGATCCTTGCGTTCAGATTCGTATTCGATTCATCGACTCTAGTTGCCGTACTGATTAAGACTATATATATATTATATTATTACTTTGGATTAGTGTAATAAAATTTCTTTAATGGTTAGGCTCTGTTCTTGCCAAAGACTTTCGACTGTAGTCGATCTCCTAAGACGATCTTCTACTATGCATCCCAACTATATAGCTGGGATGATTCACATGTAAAACTATCTTTGGAGCATTTAAGTATAAGGATACGTTGAAAATGAAATATAAAAGCCAAGTGAGCAGTTTTGGACCACACTGCTATTATTAACTATAAATATTTAAATATTAATTATACATACATATATACATATGTATTTTCATCATGCATAAATATCGCAATATATTTTTGCAATTCATTTTCAAATATAACTAAATAATTAGTTTCACAGCAGAAGAAGAAGATATCACATCCAGTATGAAACTAAAGCTCTACAAAATGCTTTTCAATTGCAATGCAATAGAATTGTACAGATCGATTACTTTATCAAGTAACTGTACAACTAATATGTAAAGCCCAAAGTCAAGCATATATTCTTATAAACATACATTAATCCCATAAATTAACTTAAAATCACGCTTGATCTATGCTAGAAACGTAGCTTTGACCTCACGAACTAACGCAGCCTTGGGGCGCCCCGATTCGATCTGTTATCGATCTCCATTGGCTGTATCGGCTCTGCGATGTAATTCTTATGTAGTATATCTTATGCGCATACCTGGGATCGAATGCGTTGCTCAGCAACAAGTCGTAGACGGCGCGCATTTTGTATGAGTTTTGATGTGAAATTCGATTACGAATTCGATTTGTTTGGGCTGATGTGACGTGACGTTCGCGTTTTATTGATATCAATTGAATATTTTTTTATATTTATGATTGTTTTTTGTTCTCTCGCATGTAGCTCAATATGAAAAGTGTTCAAGAGCATGTGCCAGCGCTGGCAATCAATTGTCTAATTTGCTTTACTTTTTTTTTATTTTATAACTATATTCCAGACTTTAAGAAAAAGAAACATTGAGTATGAAACATTATAAGCGATTTCATGTGTCTGATCTATCTTCAATATCAAATCGAGTAGTGTCGAATGCCAAACATAAGCCAGTCAGAGGGCTCTAGGCGGCAGTACTCGACGGGCGATACCCTGAACCCGGCATGTCAGTGTCAGAAATGAATTGATCGGTTTTTATCGATAATAAATCAAGTTGTAAGCCTGTACAGCATTTTCAGGAATATACAGCCAAAACTTCAAATCTCTTTTCAGATTCACATTATAATCTGCGTTCAATAACAGACACTCAGATGTAGACTGACGGACAGGCACTTAGACGGACGTATATACAAATATACAGACTGATTTATCTAGATCAAACATGTTCTCCTCATCACGAATAAATGTTCTCTATATAGTCTACCACTCATCCCTATATCTATTAAACAAGTACATTGCTGTGGCCTTACGGACAGACAGACCCTTAGATGGACGAGCGGACGGACAGACAGATATACAGACGGACATGGCAAGATCAACCCAGTTCATTGGCCTTATCAAGAATAACTGTACTCCATATAATCTACAGCGTTTCCCTATATGCACAAATCGCTACGGCCATACGGACGCACAGGCACTTAGACGGACGGACAGATATACAGACGGATAAGGCTAGCTCAACACTGTTCTCGACATCAAAAATAAATGAACTCTATATAATCTACCACACCTCCTTCTACCCGGTAAAAAACAGATCGCTACGGACGGACAAGCATTTAGACTGGCGTATAGACTGATATGGTTAGACCAACTCAGATGGCCTATTTATAAGATCTGTCTTTTACATGGGCAAGTCTCTGCGCTCAAACGGACGGAGACACGCACACATAACCATACGGACAGTCCTGCAGATTGACATGGCTATATAATGTAGTCCATATCGCTTGTACCAAGGCTTCTTGCACCTGTTACACACATTTTCAGAAACCTATTACAGCTTGAAGTCGCGCCGTTAATGGGTTCAGGGTATACACACTTGGGCAACCTTCGCTGGGAATAGAAATTCATTGAAAGGCCGCAATCAATTAGAGGGAAATTGCATAGAAAGTGGGCAACGAGAGTCGCTCAAGTTAGATAATGCGCTCTCTCTCTCCCTGTCTCTCTCTCTCTCTCTCTCTCTCTCTCTCTCTCTCTCTCTCTCTCTTAGCTGTTGTACGATATATGAATATGAAAGGCTTGTTTTTATTGAATTAATACATATATGTAATATGATTTTCCATCTGATACATGTTTCCTAATCTATCTTCTCTATGGAATATAGTTGAGGCTGGCCAGCGCGACGTATACTTGATTTGCAGCTGCTATAACAATGCAGAACAGCTGCACAATCGTCGCGTCGCTTATCAATATGCATTGATGAGCGGCCGGTAGCTCGCGCGTTGATTAGGTGCGATTGCGGGGCGTGACCGGTGGGCGTCAGTGCATCACGAGATTCTCGCATGCACCTGAGCAGCGGCTGATAAGCGGGCAGCCACTATTGGCGCCTGTTGGCGGCCAGCGAGGGGGCTGAGGCACGTGTTCTCTGTATTCGCTTGCCACACGCAGCTGTAGTCTCAATGAATTCAATTGTTTTTTCTTGATTTATATGCATACATATATAAGTGTATGTGTGTGTGTGTGTGTGTGTCTGTATTAAGATACAAATATCAACAAGTTGGCTGACGGGCAGTCGGCTGTCTAGTACCAAGGCGGCCGGCCGTCGAACACCTGCCAATTAACACTTTGAGGGCCAGCACTTTGCTAGTTGGCAACAACAACAACAACAACAACAACTGCAGCATAAGCAACAAATGAACAACACAATAAAAAAAATAAAATAAAAAATAAAATAATAATAATCATAAAAAAATAAAATAAAACACTGAACTGATTGCGAGCTGAAACCGATGCGAGGCGAACCTTACCGGGTTAATGCTGAAGCATAACTGGAAAAATGCATGAGAAAGCGGAAAAAGTACAGCGAAGAAACCAGCGATCGAAGAACGCCCAGAATTGTAAACACAAACTGCATACTGCAAGCTGAAGCACGGAACTGAAGCGCAGAGCTGAAGCGCTGAGCCGCAGTAGAGAACTGAAGCAGAGTCGCTGGAATTTGTCAACGCCAAAGAAAAACGCGAGCAGCGAACGGCAACGCTGCGTATGCGCAATATGAGACAACAGCCTTTGCTTAGTTGTTGCCATTGTTGCCGGTGCCGTCATTGCCGTAATTGTTGTAATTGTCGTAATTGTTGTAATTGTTGAGTCTCTAATGCCAAGATCTTACTCAGACTAACCGGTTCGCACAGACCACAAAAGAAACAATTCAATTTGCAGATACTGAGAGTGACGATACTGACGATATATAGGCATATATATGATATGCCAAGTGAAAAATACAGATATAGAATACATAGATACAGAAGATATAGATACAGATACAGATACAGATACAGATACAGATACAGATACAGATACAGATACAGATACAGAAACAGATGCAGATGCAGATGCAGATGCAGATGCAGATACAGATACAGATACAGATACAGATACAGATACAGATACAGATACAGATACAGATACAGATACAGATACAGATACAGATACAGATACAGATACAGATACAGATACAGATACAGATACAGATACAGATACAGATACAGATATAGATATAGATATCGATATAGATATAGATATAGATATAGATATAGATATAGATATAGATATAGATATAGATATAGATATAGATATAGATATAGATATAGATATAGATATAGATATAGATATAGATATAGATATAGATATAGATATAGATATAGATATAGATATAGATATAGATATAGATATAGATATAGATATAGATATAGATATAGATATAGATATAGATATAGATATAGATATAGATACAGTATCTGTAATACAGATCTACCAGTCAATTGGCTAAAGAGCTGTCACTTCTCAGAGGAAGAAGATCTACGGGCTACCGGTTTGAGCTACAGCAAAGTGGCAGACGACGCGTCGTAGTGGGAAACCAGCTGAGGCGCTGCGAAGTCAGTGGAGTTGCTGCTCTTCATATTATTTCTTTCAGCTGAAGCCAAACAATTCTGATTACCATGGCAATCAATGATGATGATGATGATGATGATGATGATGATGATGATGATTCATAATGCCAATGCTCGGCATAGGAATATCGACCACGTCTCAGCGGCAAGCGCGTGATTTTTAAAGTTTATTTTCATTTTATTCTTTGTTTTCATTTTCCTCTGCAGTCGGTGATAAGCGAGCAAAGAATCCGCTGCAAATGAACGCAGATGCAGAGCCAATCTCATTAATTACAGTTATTGCCATGTCCCAAAGTGGGTGCAG